CTCCTACTCTGTCCTGTTCCAAGTTTCCCTGTGCTTTGCATGTCTTTCCGGCTTGTCTTTGTTTGGGGCTATATATTTCCGGGTCACCCTTTCCTCCTCCCTCAGCATTGAGGGTTCGGATGTCTTGAGACCCTCCTAGCCTGAGGGCTTAGCTTTCTACCCGACATCGTCTGACCTCCTGAGCCCGGGCTAACCCCCGTTTTGACGCTATCCATAGGGTCTTTATTGCTCTCCTGGCCATTCGACGGCATGCCTTTCCGATATCCGTGACAGTTTCACATGAACAGATGGGGAATTGATATTGAACTGTGTGACTTACTTTCCGTCCTCATCTGACTAAATATTTCTGAGTTTAAGATAAATATTTTAACTATATAATAGATCTGATGACGAGGCTTGCAGGAGACAGGAAAGAAGTCAGCTCTGGCTGGTGCCATCTGAAGTGCAGCTATAAAGGTTCTCTAATAACATCATGAATACATCATAAACTGTGGGTTATGGAATCTTATCTTCATGTTACAAACTGTTAAAGTGTGGAAAAAATGCCTGGTTTGTGATTATGAACCCTTTTTACAATGCCTTGGGTTTCAGCTTAAGTACTTTCTATCACTAACAGTGATGTCTTTTCTTGTCCCAGATGCCGGAAGAGCAGGCATTCTGCGTGTTGGTGAAGATCATGTATGAGTATGGCCTGAGGCAGTTGTACAAGAACAACTTTGAGGATCTGCACTGCAAATTCTACCAGCTGGAAAGACTTATGCAGGTGAGCAGCATACCCCCTGTCAGTGGACTGTACGGAATGTACAGTGTAGCAGTTTAGTTCACAAAGTGTTATTTTTGTTTTAAGGAAATGAACAACACTATCTTTGAACAATCAAATATTGCATAATGAGAGAAGGTGAGCTGTACCATCAGTGGCCCAATAACCTTTCCAGCGATCTTAAAGGACCGTGGTTAATGGATGTAATTAATTTTTATTTTAGATTATTAGGTTTAACACCACTGTCAAAAAAACATATCTCTAAAAGCATAGCAACTCATGTGGTTTTAACTTAAAATTCATTGTGCTCTCTGGTGCTTTCAGATTGATGAACTGAAAAAGAAACTAGATATGCTTTTAGTTGTCTTTTTTATTTAAACTGACATTATTGTGGAGTAAATTTACTGGACATGAATATTGCTACAAATGGGTGGTTGCTAAACTAGAGAAATTCAGAAAATGAGTAAGCAGATAAATCAATAAGTAAAACTAATAATTATAACTCCCAACTTGTAAAGACTGGAAAAGGGCTATGGGGAAAACACAGTCAGGAATGGAAGGGATGGCGAACAGGGGGCGGTGCCGACAGTGAATCCAGGTGCAAGGGGGGAACGCAAGCAAATAAGTCCAATGTAGAATATCCGGGGAACAGACCAAAATCCAAAAACCAGGGAATCCATCCAAGACAGAACGATTAAAAACAGGAACATGGAACCAGGAAGTTAAAAACAGACTGACGAGGCCAGGCACTCCAA